CACTATAATATAAAACCAAATTTAATAAAGTTGATTGTAATGTTTGCAATTATCTATATCACCGTTATTTTTAATTTCTGTTAATGCGTAATTTTTTATTTACTTAATTCGCTGTATTATGCATAATAATTCGAAGCTAATTGTTTATTTATAAATGAAATAGGTTTGATCAATTTTCATTAAGTTTGAATCTCGAGCAACATTATCGAAGTATTTTTTAATTTTTGATCACAGAGATGCGGATAAATTCGTGCACTGACGATTTTTCTGTCTTTTTTTTGTATTACTATATCATCGTTAAGCACTTCTTGCGTTTTAATTCCTCGTTGCTTATAATAAATTATAATTCTAAAGCTAAAGCATACCGTAAAGAATATGGGCGTCAAATTTGAAGGCGGTGATATCTCAACATTTAGTACACAATGTGAATGTTTACACACAGACATTTCACCAATAAATTGTCCATAATTGCGATGCATTGCGTTAAATTACTCTTACACTGTAACAAGTAGAGCGACACGACAATTCTTAATATTACAAATCCATTAGTTGCGGCGCGATAAAATTGGATACTTGACAATTTTGCCCCAATTGCGAATCACTCAATCCGATCCATTAACCGATAGAGAACGAATGCTGTTAAAACAGACAATGTGTACTGAAATTATAAAGCGTCATGCATTGTTATCGAGTGTCCTTCAATTACACGGTGAAAGTGGTTGTAGCATTGGAAGAATAGTGATGTATGGAGACCTTTTCTACAACTGACTTTGTTCAACAGCTGACTTTATCACTTTCATGAAAAACTGGGAAAACTTGGAAATGTTGACAAATTTCTGAAATGATATGATCCTTCTTGACGCTAAGATATAAATATCGCTATTAAATCTTTGGATCTCGGTAATTCATTTAAATTAATATCAAACTTTATAACAAACTTTATAAATTAACATTATCTGCATTATACTGAAAAGAATAAATAAATTTTAGTAAATATTTGTTTGAATTGTTCTAAGTGTTTACTAAATTTATACAAATACTTATTTAAAATATAAAAACCATAAATTTAATCTATCATTTTCTTATTGAATAAATATTTATTTGGTACTATTCAAAGAAATATGTATTAAAATTTAGTAAATTTTTTTCATTGTGCAGCATCGGGAAAAGATTGAAAGTAATGATATCGCATTTTTGCATTCTCCTAAACTTAATTCGATTTGATGCTATTTAGCATGCCAAGTATGCAGTATTGAGATTAAATTTCCACCACGTCTTCAATTTCCAACACTGACGTCTTAAAAAAGATTCAAGCATTCTAATACATTCATGAGAAGTTATTATTGTTGTCTCTGACGCTCCGGATTCGGAATGCACGCATAAAGAACCGAGGCGTGCGGTCCTCTTTGGGAAAAGTCGCACCGCTGTCATTGCCATTGTCGTCGTCCTCATCGGGGTGGTCGTCCGCTCGTTTTCTCATTCGTCTCGACGGAGACGCTCGATTATCGCATGCCCCGCGACCCGACCAGCGCCATCAAACTCCCGAGCCGCCGAGATCGAAGATCCGCGGACGTTTCGGGCGGCCGTGCACGCCCGGCCGTAACGAGCCGGCGAACGAGCGTAGGTACGAGAGAGAGAGAGACTGGGTGAGAGAAAGGGACAGGCGGACGCGTGTGCGCGCGTGGAAACGCTTGGAAGTCATTGGTGTCGATGCCGTTGTGAGCACCGAGAGAAACGAGAGAGAGTGAGCGAGTGTGCGTGCGTATCGGGGGTTGGGGGGGGTGGTCGATACGGCCCTGGGGCCGCGACAGCCGCGTTGGAGGCCTCCCCATTCTTCCTGCAGGCGTTTTTGCCTCCGCCACGTTTCAGCCCTCTCTCCACAACCCCTTTCCCTGACCGCGCCATCCTTCTTCCTCTCAGTCACCCTCTTATTCTCTATGCGTTTCTCTCTCTCTCTCTCTCTCTCTCTCTCTCTCTCTCTCTCTCTCTCTCTCTCAAAAAAAAATCTCTCTCTCTCTCTCTCTCTCTCTCTCTCTCTCTCTCTCTCTTTTCTTCGCTGAATTTTTCTCTCTCCCTTTCCTTTCCATCTCACTCTTGTCGCCGCTTTCTCTCTCTTTCCCCCGCCCCTTCTCTCGCTTGCTTTCCTCGTCGCACTCTCAATCCATCCAGCCCGATCTGCCATCTCACCCTCCGATTCTCCACCCACGCAACGCGTTCCAGCCGCCACTGACACCCCCTGTCGTCTCCCCGCCGATGCAACCTGCCTGTGCCTCTGTCCCTCAGTTCTCTTCCTCCTTCCATCCCCTCTGCCTTGCCGTTACTCCACCGCGGTGCCACTCTCACGCCGCCGGCAACCGCGCAGACCCCGCCTAATCGTGCCACCCCCGGCTTGATTAAAGAACAGAGAGGCCCTGGCGTGCGAGGGTTGCTGCCGTTAGGTCTTCTCTCTTTCGCTCTCTCTCTCTCTCTCTCTCTCTCTCTCTCTCTCTCTCTCTCTCTCTCGTTTTTTTTTTTTGCTTCTTCCGCGGGCGTCATCGTTCTTCTTCTCTTGGTCATCCTTCAGTAGGATCCTTCAGAGCAAGCTCCTTATACATATAGAGCTCGACCACGTGGACGTTCTAACATCCAGAGAAGTCACGCGACTTGACGGTTACGCCACGCGGAGGTGGCGTCCATCATCTTTCTTCTCCTCGTGACCTCACTTCTTCCTCGTTTCGCCGTTCATTCGTTTCTTAAACTTCCCTCTCCTCCTCTCTTGCGCCGAGATTTCAAGGTTACTTCGAGAGGATATATATATTGCGGGGACTTGTAACGAACCTTTATACGTCGTATACTTTATTTTAAATACACATATTCAAATATACTAGCTCCTTTTTGGATTAGCTCTATAATTAGAATTTGATTCTTCTTGAGAAAATTAGTCATAAACTTAAAAAAATCCTAATACATATTTATTCATATATTATTTTACAAAATAATTTACACACACATTCTTATTATATGATGGCTTCGGTAATACTCGATCGATATTTACTCAGTTGTAAATTTCCGCAGAGTCTCTCTACGCAAAAATACTTGTGTTTCCCAAATATATAATTTCCGACTAATTCGCACGTTCGTGAAAGCTGAATGAGAACAAGCGTCTTTTCGACGATATAGTTTTCCAAGAAGTGAATTTCATCGGTGAAAAACCGGTGTCGTGGACGTGTCGAATTGTTGCAACTGGATCGTCGAAACTGGATCGCCGGGGCGCTGATTTTCAGAAGCGACATTTGGTGGGTGAACGGACGGTGCTCGACGTCGACGCCGCGGCCGCGGCCGCCGCCGCCGCCACCGCCGCCTCCGTCTCCACCACCGCCGACGCCCGTCGCCGAGGCGGGATGAAATTGCACCGCCGCCGGGCGGAACGAGATGCCGGGACGACGAGCTCTCGCGCGAGAAATATGCAAATCCAATCGGACCGGACCCGCGCGGTCCGCCTCTCTCGCAAAGCGGTTTACCGAAATGAGTATTTTTCTATTCCGCGTCCGCGCCTTGATTCTCGAGCGCGGCGTTTCCGCGCGCATTTCCGCACACGCTCACCTCGATTATACGATGCCGTTAATTAACGAATTAATTGCTCGCTCGTGGCGAACGTGTGGCGATTCCTCCACGCGGTAGACGCTAACTTACAAATCCCCCCTTCGACGGTAATTTTTGATACAAAAGCTCACGTAGTTAAAATAAATAAATGCGTTGTTTAGATATCGACTAAGATACTCTCTTTCAATTCTTTCGAGTGGAATCTTACTGTGAAGAGAGTGAAAATTGAATTTCAAAGACACAGTCTTGAAAAAGAGGGGGTTCAATTCTTAATCCTTAAGGCCCGGTTTTGCGTCATCTGGTGAACTTGTAGTTTATACTTAACCTCTTTTAACTTTTTAAAACCATTAAACATCGTTTTTTTTAAATTAATTAAAATATTATTTGAATTCTTATATAAAATATTCTCTAAAACGTTTACAGTGAATCTCACTCTAAAAGAAAAGATTGGCTGCTGCAGTAATTTAGATGGTAAAATGTGACACAGCATTTTTAATTAGCTACAGTATCCAATTTTTGGCTGCAGCAACCAAAAATTGGCCGCTGCAACCAATTAAAAGTGCTGTGCCATATTCAGCCAATCTTTTTTATCAGTGCAAGTGAAATCTCTTAATAAGTTTAACTTTTCTGATTAACTCGTGGTTAGACTTAACCTGATGATAACGTAAAAAATTTTTCTAAGCTATGATTAATCACTGAACTAATAGTTTTATAATGTGTGTGATAAAAAATTAAAGGAATTCAATAATTAACGATAGCTAGAAAAATATAATATTTACATTTTTTTTGTCATAAGATTAAGTCTGACTATGAGTTAATCAGAAAATAAAAAGGCTAAACTTATTCAGTGCGATTTCACTCTTCAGAATAAGATTCACTCTAAACGTTTTAGAGAATATTTTAAGAGAATTTAGATAATATTTTAATTAATCTTAAAGGAACACACATGTTTAAGGGTGCAGTCACAATAGAAGGAATAAGGAATTAGGAATAAGGAATAAGAAATTAGCCTATCAGAAACTATGTATACCAATGTATCCGATTTCTGATAGGTTAAGATTTCTTATTCCTTATTCCTTCTATTGTGGCCGCACCTTAATGGTTTTAGAAATTATATGTTACTAACCACACACACACCCAACTACGTATGTTCTTCGTTAAATAGTTCTTAAATCGCGTAGATATCGTTTAAATGCGGTACGTTATGCGCCGTACAATCTACAATACACGGAGTGAGAAATTTACCAATCACACAGTCGAATGTGAGAAAAATAATCGAGTGTGATTGGTCAATTTCTTGTGCTTTACTCTTGTGCTTCTTACTTCGTGTATTGTAGACGGCGCATTACTTTTGAACTTGCTTTTGAAGTTACACGCCGAGTTTTAGCAATTTATAGCGTTTTCCCTTTCTTCCACAGTCGCTCTTGAAGACGGCCGACCAGCTAAAGATCAAGGGCCTCTGCGAGGTGCCAGAGAACAGGGACGGTCCGCCACCCGTAAGTCTGAGCTCGCCGCCGAGAGAGTCCGGCACCCCGAGGTTGAACTACACGAAGCTGAAGAAGCACCATCAGAGATACAAAAAACCCAGACTCGAGCGGCCCACATTCGAACCGCGTCCTACCGATCCGAGGCACTACGATCGCTACAAGGAGGAAGAGGCCAACGATTACAGCCGTGATAACAAAGAGGTAATTTTGTCGGCCTGACAATCACACTCTTTAAATCTGAATCAATGGATAGTCACTGATATTCCAACAATGACATGCAGGGGGAATCAAAGAATTCACCGTGAGTTTCAACTAAAAAATCAATGAAACGTAGAATTCCTAATTCTCTAGATTCTTTAAATTCTCTAAAACTCTTTTAGAGTAAATCTCACTCTAAAGAGTGAAGTCTCAAAGATGGAAAAAGTGAGTCACTTTTTTTCAAGGTTGGCTCAATCTTCACTTTTCAGAGTGAGATTTCATTCTAAAAAATTTAGAGAGTATATACCTAACCTTACCTTTGTGCATAAATTCAATTTATCGTATACGCCGTATACGGTATTGGAATTGATACGCAAATATCGGTTTTAATTACGTTTTAATTACATAATGATCAAACTCTCTTTCTGTTTCAATTAAATTTCACTTTTCCATTTGAATTTTATCACTTCTCATTGAAATTTATAGAGAAACTAAGCTTTTCAATCCTCAGCTTTAATGCTGGCATTCGAATTATCAAGACTTAATTCTAAATGATGTTTTAAAAATATCGGAAAGAATGTTTGACGTTCATAATTACTTACCTCCGTCGTCCGTCGATCATGTGAAATTTTTGCACATTCCATCAGCAATCTGGATCTTTGTGTTTTAGTGCTGATTTTTATCAGTTGTGTGTATAAAAATCTGAAGTTCTTGCGAAAGCTTTAATAATAAATTTTTAGAAGTCAAATTATATTTTACTTATTAGGAGTACAAATTAGTTCGGTCCGTTTTCCAAAAGATGATCGTCTCCAAAGACCAGTCATTTTTTCGAGATGGAATTCGAAAATTGCCCGAGAGATGGGAAAAAGTAGTAGCCAGCGATGGACAATACTTTAATTAATCTGTTCATTAATTTTGTTTTGAAATAAATGCATTTTTGAACACAAAAAAACGGACCGAACTAATTTGGACACCTAATATTTTTTACAAATTTAAATTTATCTACCAGATAGATAACAATCAAAATATTAACTATGCCTTCAAAGTCCAACTTGATCGGTGAAGGGTCATTTATAACATATAATAATTCTGAGATTTTTAAAAAAATTTCTTAAGTTAATTACGCGTAGCCAGACGTCATTTGTTAGATTAGTTCGTTAACGTGATTCATTATTTGATATTCAATTCTTGACAGAATTCATATGTGAGCTCAATAAAATTTGTTTTTTGATCACTGTAATTATAAAAAAATTGTTTATATTATAAAAGAGAATCATCGCAGTAGATAGTCTATTTGATCGTAACAATAATGGAAAATTGATCTTGTAACGCGTTAAAAAGATGAAGTGAGGCATAGGTACAAACGCAATGGTTCTCCCGTGTTGGCGGGCGCGCGGTTCGATCTCGTCAGGGTCGACGCTAAATTCGTACCGGATATTCCGCAGAACCATCGGGACTGGCAGGCTGAAGATGAAGAGTGCACGGAGACAGCAACAGTAGCAGTAGTACTGGACACTTGCCAACGTAATAATAATAACAATAACAACAACAACGGTAACGGCACGAGTAACAATAGTAAGTAGATCAATAGAGATTTTTGCCCCACACCTGGATATATGTCGGACTTTATTTTCTTTTTCCTTGTCTATTTCTCGTGAAACGTAAATCTATTTTTCATTTTCAGAAAAATTGCAGTATTAATTTTCAATTCTTTTTTTTTCTTTTTCTTTCTCTCTCTTTCATTTATTCAAATTTTTTTAAATAATATTTATCTTATACATACATGCATACATACATCCATACATACATACATATATACATATATATTATACGCTTTAAAATAATATATCTCATATAATATGTGCATTTTGCATTTCAGTAAATAAATAACTTATGATCAAATTTAAAAAAAAAAAAGACAAGAAGACACTTGCGTCGCGATTATTCGGAAGTTTCCAGGTGTGGGGCGATTTACTGTTTTCAAGATCGATTTGGACGGATCCCTTTCACGTCGAATAAAAAGGTGACATGTTCTGTCACACAGGGCTAGGGCATTATGGCCACCATCCAGATCCCGGAGAGGTCGATTTGCCCCCCGAGACCCAACCTACCCCACCCAGCGCCACTCTGGTCGGCACTACCATCACCCACTTGAGGGATCCGGATCATCATACAGGTATAAAATTTTACGTTGCTCGAGTACCGTTCCTTATCTCGAAAATAGCGGTTCTCGACGACGATCGCTACAATTGTGCATGACTATAAAACGACATAAAATAATTGTTTTTAATCCTTATGAATTCACTTTCTTTAAATCAATTTTTGCTAACGAACAGTACGAAATGAAATCAGAACAGACATATAATAGTTACAAAGCTTCTAACTGGACTTGGTTGCGGAAAGATATCGTGAGATGCTTCTTTGTTATGAAAAAGACAATAAAAGGAGAACGATGTGCATATTTTAAGAAGTATGAAGGACTTTTTTAGCACGCAAATGCAGTAAAAAATACAATTTCCAAGATAACAATTTACAATACAATTTCAAGAGAATAATATTTAGTAAGCATATGTATAGGTCTATCGAGAAATTTATCGGAAAAGAATAAAAGAATTATAAAATGATTTGTTTAATTGTGTCAATTTTATAACACTGATAACTTGGCCTTTTAACGCATGTCACATGGATCACCAGTGACCCACACTGGACTTTCCATTCAGACCGTTTAATGTTTCGACTATAAAAAAAAACGTAATTGTATTATAGAATAATAGTTTATATCATACGTGAATACATAATTATGATACATGATGCAGTACTTGATACATTATACTTATAATATATGATGCAGTACTTGGTACATTAGATCACATCTTCTTTATAATGATATTTATAATTAAATTATCATGAAATACATATGTTATTTAACGAATGTAGCAAACAAAAATATCGCGAGTTACCAACGTGGTAGTCAAATTAGTTAAAATTCGCCAACATGAAAGAACGTGTTAAGTTAAAAATATTTCTTCGTAAGCTTTCTCTCTTATTGACTTAGAATGTGCGTCACTTTCGCGAGCGCTATACCTTAATGATCAAATATATTCAGTTATAATAGTATGATCATCTGATAGATGATCATCGTGTCTTATTTTGCCCATCGCGTGCGGTTTCTTGGTCCATGTCGTACATTTCCCTCGGACGTTAGGGCGCGGTGAGGGGTAAAATATTACCGGACTGAAAGTACAGCCGGTCATTAGGCGGACAGGGAATCAAAATAATTGGCCTAATCATGCTTAACTGGTCGCGATTAGATTTGCGTTGCTCGGTCCGCAGCAGCAGTCCACGCAACCTCATTTAGCGTCCTTCCGCGTCCAGTTTCGCCTTCGACAGCGCTTGCTTATCGATCCTCAGGTAGCATCGAAGCTTACCGAGTAAACTTTCGTGAGTCCCGCGGTGAAGATATATATCGTCGCGAAAGTTATTACCGAGTTTCCTCGGTGCAAAGCGCCAACAGCAGCGTCGTGTCATGCCTGTTTTCCGCGATCTGTTCACAGAGATTCAGAATTGCGACAGCGTCAAGATCAAGTTTGAAACGCTGCACACGATGGACTCCTCGGACACGATCGACATAGATAGCCACATGTCGGATCGGGCGAGCGTAAGTTCAAAGAACGCCGCCGACAGCGATAACATGATGATGATAACACCGGAGCTATTGGGACTGATGCCATCGGGAAGCTCCGGTCAGTCGGACTCGGGTGAGAATAACTCGAGGGGGCACAGCGGACAATCCAGCTCGCATCATCACGGTTCGAAGTCGTGGACGCAGGAGGACATGGATGCGGCTTTAGAAGCGCTGAGGAATCACAACATGAGCCTGACAAAAGCTTCAGGTAAGAAGAAAGATATATTTCGATCTTCTCATTCGGGATATTCATCACCAATGGTTATCTGAAATCTAAGAAATTATTGGTACTTTTAATTGAAGATTTATTTTTTCGTACTATATATGTATAGGTATATAGAGCTAAAATTTTTGTGAGTAACGGTCATTGATTGCATTTGCTAATGTATTATATGTATGCATAACGACTTGTGTAAAGCAAAAAAAATTATATAAATCTATTAAAAAATGTAGTTCGTAGTATTAGTGATACCATATATGAAATAATTAAACGTGCAATTTTAATATTTCAGCAACATTCGGTATTCCCTCGACGACACTATGGCAACGGGCGCATCGATTGGGCATCGATACACCGAAAAAAGACGGCCCTACGAAATCCTGGAGTGACGAAAGTTTGAACAATGCCTTAGAAGCGTTGCGTACCGGTTCCATTTCGGCTAACAAGGCGTCCAAAGCATATGGCATACCCTCCAGCACGTTGTATAAGATCGCCAGGAGGGAAGGTATTAGATTAGCCGCACCGTTCAACGCGAGTCCCACTACATGGACACCTACCGATCTAGACCGCGCTTTAGAGGCAATAAGATCTGGTCAGACGTCCGTACAGAGAGCGTCAACGGAATACGGTATACCTACGGGAACTCTTTACGGAAGATGCAAGCGAGAAGGAATCGAGCTTAGTAGGAGTAATCCTACGCCTTGGAGCGAAGATGCTATGACTGAAGCTCTCGAAGCAGTCAGGTATCAATAAATGAAAAAAACTCTTCTCTACCTTGACTCTCTACGTTCAATAACGTATACAAATAGATCGATATATTTCAATGATTCAACTTGAGAAAACATTATATAATTAGTGTGGATTAAATTAAATTTATTTTGTATATTTTTTATTTACTGCATATATTATATATCTTGGAAACTTAAAATATTTGCAAAAAACTTAGTTTCTTTGTAAAGTTGTTTTTTTTTTTAGTTTTACAGAACACAGTGTATGAATATTTATCTATTGTATATATCTTCGAAATTTATAATATTTGTAAAAAAATTTTTTGTGAAGTTCGATTTTGTCGAACACAGTGGACGAAACTTGTATGACTGATGCAAATTTCTAATGCAAAATAAATATTTACATTGCTCTTAAATTTGCTGTTACAGATTAGGACACATGAGCATAAATCAAGCGGCAATCCATTATAATCTGCCGTATTCGTCATTATACGGACGCTTCAAAAGGGGCAAATACGAGGAACCAGTCGTCGGTGATATCTCGCAGGATGGTACAAGTCCGCATTTCCATCAGAGCCCTAACCAGAATCACTCATCCGCCCTTCCAGATCAAATGCCTTACCCGGGCAGTTGAAACTTACCTCTTTACTAGAGTATTAAGTTAGCTTGCTCCGAACTTTTCGATTCGCGGCAGCTCCTCAAACAACTCTTTAAGCAAACACGCGCGGGCGGCATTCTGAGAGATTAGATACTGATCGGAGAGAATGCTATTATGAAAACACACATCTATGATAGCGAAAAATGAAGATTTTACCCGCAGTATTAAAAATGGATTGCCGTAAGCAAGCATTATGTGTGTACATTGTATGATTTTTTTATCGTCGAAACAAGAAACGTAGATTATTCTAATTTATAAGAGTTATTTATAAAAAGAGCACACTGTACAGAGACCGAGGGGGGTGCCCCAACGAAAACTACTTTTAGCATGTAAGTCTACCTATGAAGCGTTAGATGAGAATAGATATTGCAATGGACAGTATGTATTCTTGTTAAGCGAAGACACGCAAAAAAGGAATACCATTTGTTAATTGACAGAATATTATAGCATTGGTTTTTTGAAGCAGCTTTAAATTCTAATCTCGCATTTTACATCATCGCCAAATGTTACATTTGAATTCACAAACGAATTCTTGAAGTAAAATGTTTTTTTCATGATAATTTCGCGTAATGAGGATACATTCGTGAGCATGTGTTGATAGGGATGAGAGCGTATGTATTATTTAGTGCTATTCACAAAATTTGAATACGTAATAAAAAAAAAGCGATATTTGTTATATTATGCGAATGGCTGAAACAAAATTATATAAGAACAAAATTTATTGCGATTTAAAGGATATATGAACTATTTTATTTTCTCTTGATGTATTCCACGTTTTATTTTGCACGAAATTAGCAAGCGTATTTTATTTATTTATGTTGAGCAAAATAACTTAAAGTGAGTCAGTAATTTGAAAATAGAAACAACTCGTGCCGGTAAAACGGTGTTTTGGTTACTGTAGTTCGACAGTTGTAACATGAGGAGTTTCACGAAAACTGCGCTAATAATTTAAAACATATTTCACATAATGGACTGATAATAACTAGGGTCTTTATTAATTTTTGTGTTATCAACTTTTCCGTTTTATTTGTTCCATCAATGAAAGAGGGATAAAAAAGAGATGAGTTTTCCACGATGGATAAGATGGTAAATATTTATGGAATAGATAGATACGGCTTTTAACAGTTTCTTAGAAAAATTTAAGATTCCCTCAGCTCAACTGCCACTTATATAAATATGTTACACATATTATTAATTTATCATGCTCACATCAATTATATTACATAAAAATATACATATAGATATATGCTACTTATAAATATATAAATATATATATATGTACAGTTTATATATATTTTAAATTAAAAAGTAATGCAATCAAAAAAGCGTTCGATTCATATAAGTCTAAGACTCCGTCCTTTTTTATCTTTTTCTACTAGATAGACAAATCACTTGTTTATTATAACTCCTAGACATGGGGTCTGTTTTTTGTTCCTGCACTGCCTGAACTAGTACACACGGCGCAATAAGTTAAAATGAAACAAACGTATATTTGTTTCACTTCAACTTATTACACCGTGTGCACTAGTTCAGACAGTGCAAGAACAAAAAACAGACCCATGATTTTTCGTTTTCTGGTTTGTAATTAGATTTGATCTGATAATAAAAATTATATTTTTAGCTATAATTAATCATTAAACTAGTTTTATAAGTTTTAAAAGTTTATCGATCTATCACAAAACCATCACTTTAGTGATATCTAGAAAAATACAATTTTTTTTACATTATTAGGTTAAATCTAATTACAAATTAATCAGAAAATGAAAAACTGCGTTTTTGTTAAACAGACTGTGAGAATAAAAAAATTTTATAACACAGTTTGCTCAAAATTACACGTTTATTATAAAATAATGTTACACAATTTTGAGTACTGAATATATTTTTTCAAAATACACATTAATAAAAAATGTTTATAATCAAATAAACAAAAATTTTATAAATCAGAAAATTTATTTCAAAAAAGATTAATTTTTAGCGAAGAATTCCATTTAGTTATATCAGCAATGTATTTTCGTATTATTAAAATCTGGTTTTGTAATTAAGTTCGTTCTTGAAGCGTTTTGTTTTAATCAGATGTTGCCATCGTGTACCTTCTGGATAAGACCATCGCACAATGCATTTGTCCTTAAGCTGAGTCGAAAATCCTGGACGATTAGGCAATAGGTAAGCAGCGTTTCTAATAAATACAGGATCTTTAAAGTATCCGTGCTGATGACTAGTGTATTCTATCTTAGTATCCGTGAGTGCACTTAAGCAAATAAAATTCCATATTTGAAGATGTTGGTTCATCTCGCCTAAGCCAACTCCACCAGCATGCCCCCACACCGGTACTATAAATAATAAAAGAGAAATTCGCATTGAAATGAATTTCGCTAAGCAAAATATCACTCTGAATGATGGAAATCTAAGAAATATAATTATCGTCAATCGCAAACTTACTTGAATGTTTTTTTGCCATAAAGTATACAGCTAGAGCTTCATTAACTCCACCGAGTCTGCCTACGTTAATGTTCCAAAAATCAATTCCACCATATTTTAAGAATTGTTTGAATAAGACGCGATTCGCGCACGTTTCGCCGCAACTAACTCGTACTGGATATTTAAACATTTTTAGTTCTTTTTGTATATCAACGTGTCCACGAACATCATCGGGAGATGTTGGTTCTTCTATGCAATAGGGATGTAATTGATTGAAACCTTTCACAGAAAATATTGCTTCGGGCGTGTCCCAAAATTGATTCGCGTCCACTATCAATGTCTTGTCTTTACGCTTGCTTATCACGTTTCGTATCAGGTTACACTTCTTCCAGCTCATGGAGATGGTAGGACCCACATATGTCTTATACTCATTAAACTCGAGTTTCTTGAATTTTTTGCAAGCACTTCTAATTTGTTGGTTGTTGAAAGACCATCCGATATCGGCCGTGTATGCCGAATATCCTTTACTTTCTAATATCTTCTGCCTTTCCTCTTTACTTGACTGTTCTTTCTTGAGCATTTCTATCGCCTCCTCCTCAGTCACCACATCTCTACTGTAATAAAAAAGATATGTGAGAAATTTCAACTATTAAATATAACAATTTAATATATGAAATATTAATATTCGAATGTCTTTTAATTAATGCAATGGTTTTCAAATGTGTAGCACAAACAACGCCATATAACAGATTTTAGTTTACATGTATTTAAAATCCACAGTGGAAACGAGCTGTTCGGGTGTCATGTCCGTAAGCAGCTTCCAGACGGGTTTATCTTCGATATGTGCCCATAGGTCCCACAAGGCATTCACGATAGCTGCTGTAGCTAAATGTACCACACCGCACTCCACCCCTAGCTAAAATATACGTATAAATCATACCTTGATCATATTATACATTAATTAATATAATTGATAGATTTGTTTTATTATACATTACCCATCGAAGTTCCACGTCGTTTGTTAACTCTCTCCAAAATGATGCAAAATTTGAATAGATTTCTGTGGTCGTTCGTTTCTTTATGAATTTGGACATAAGCTCGCAAGTTTGTACCACTATAAAAATTTATTATCAATAATGGGGAAACGACAGAGAGAGAAATATATATATATATATATATATAGAGAGAGAGAGAGAGAGAGAGAGAAGTTAGTATTGTTACACGTACCAAATTCATTTCCTCTTCCTAAAGTGGCTGCAATGCCGTATCCTTTATATTTCGTGTTAGTATGGATTATTACATACGTACAGGCATGGTTGGTATACGTATGCTGTGAAGAGTCGATTATGTTAAATACAAACCTCACAATAATTCGAAAATAAAAAGAAGACACAAATATTTTATTAAGAAAATTAATATATTGTAATGCCTACCATTGAATCATTTCCAGTATTCCACATATTTGTTGGAAATCTTATATCGTACACTTTCATGTTGACAATTTCTGTGTCTATCATTTTTCTGTACCGCTCACAGCAACGATATTCGCAAACTGATGGTAATAACGATGTTTCTGACTAAATAATGTCCTCTAGAATAATGACCTTCTCTTTCAAAATATGTACACATAAATAGATTTTCTATATGATGTAAAACGAATATTTACCTATAAGAAATCAAGTTAAACATTAGTTAACAATTACATTAAAATCAATCTCTTATAAAAATTATTCAAATTTATAAAACACTCTTGTTTTGAATTTTTTGAGTATTATTATTTTTAAAATAATACAAAATAATTTATAAGGCTCATGTGAATAAATCAATAAAGGAATAAATAATAATCGCCATTACGAGCCGACATAAGATGGAAGTATGTAACTTCGAATTTAATATAATAAAATTCAATAGTATATATTATTGTTCATGCAAGAAAATTTTTATGACCGACATTTTTTGTTCATTTTCTAAAAAAAAGTTATTTAGGTCATAAACATTTTTTTTTTTTATTTATTTTTTTTTTATTTAAAATATGTATGTTTTTCGAAACATTATTAGTTACATTCTAAGAAAATCTAAATTACTAGAGTACCATGTCTAAATTATACATTATGTATAATACGATGTGCGTGCAATGTGTATCTTCTGAAATGCTGTTTAATAATAACGTGGATCATTTACGACAGTAGCACATTTCTCCTGATAAATCATTGTAAAACATTGGAAAAAATTTGTTTATTTTATTACATTTCTACTTTGTATTCGCGTTAACGTTTTTAAGCTTTGATATTAAATATCTTTCTTTTATGTAGCAAAATCTGTTGCAATGATACAGCTACTTGAAATTTTCACTGTTCCTTGCGAGACACACGTCAGTTCACGAGGGTTAATCAAATCTTCGAAAAGTCGTTAGTTATTAGGAATATATCAGAGCAAGAAGTTGAAGAGCTGTACAACGGGTATAGATGTTGTTCATTTTCTCCTATTTCTTTCAAGATATTTAGTAACAGACGATAATCTAGAATTGAGAAATAGGAATAATGAGCTTATATGCGCGTCTTTCTAGACCTTCGACAAATCGTCAAGTTATACGAAGAACATGTTAAGCGAGAAGGTGTCGGAATAATCAGGAATAATCCCTCCTACACATCCGCCGGATATAAACAATAAGTGCCATATGTACCAATTCGTTAGTGGGGTTGTCATGGAAATCAGGTGCGCTACCGCGCTCCGATTGGACGGTGCGGGTCTGGTGGGGAATCGGAATGAATCGGAAGCACGTGTGCGTAGCCAGATTATTCTGACAACCTCTTTGCTGAACATGTTTCCCACATGAATTTGCGATTTTTCGAGGGTCTAGAAAGACACGTGCATGTATTTTTCAATCTTTAGTTATCGTCTATCGGTAAATGCTTCCTGAGAGAGACAGGAGACAGGACCGAGTCAAGCAGTACGTCTTCGTAACCTCCTGTCCGAATATGTGCTTCTGATAACTTCAACGATTTTTCAACTCCGAACTGAACTGCTCTGCGACCGCTCGTAAAATACACGGAGTGCTAGGCTCAGTGGTTTTACGTATGCGTACACAGTGTACACTCACGTATGTATGTATGTATGTATGTACATACAATCTAGAGTTTAGATGCTAGAGTATTTTAAAAGCGATCAAGGTACACTTGAATCATTTGGGCTTCCAAGATAAGCGGTCATTAGATATCATCGAATTAAACATCGAAATTAATTAATTTTCAAATGACCCAAACACTGCAGCTGGCAAATTGTATCTTCTGTAAAATTATTAGGAACGAGGAACCTGGTGAAAAAGTTTTCGAGGTACTGGGATAACCTCCAAATTGTTTGAATTTGACACATATACATGTAAATGCATCTAATATAAAAATGTGCGAGTGTATATAACAGATGTTTTTCATTGCTAGGATGAGGATGTCACATGTATTAAAGATATTAATCCAGTGTCTACACATCATTATTTGATAATACCGAATAAACATATACGCAATGCAAAAACACTTCAACCTGAAGATTCTGAACTTTGTAAGTATTATAGACTTATCTTTCTTAACATATTTAAGTCAATTTTTTAATAATTATATAAATCAGCAATATTGATTTGTTACATCATTGATTACCATCTATTTATCAAATATTTGTATTTGTATATATATAATATGTGGACATATATATTCAAAAATTTGTATGACAATTCCTCTATCTCTTAAGTCTACGATACTATTTTTCCTGCAGGGTAGCTTGCATGCTACTAACATTCTTCCTGGCTGCTATGTTGGAAATCTGCTGGCTATGCTACTGACTGATCTACTAGATTTTTTTCCTATTATAAGTCAGGTTATTTTTCTTGCATGATTTTGCTGACTCATTATGAAAGTCAATCTTAGATTGCAATCTTAGATGCAATCTTAGATCATGTGATCATATTCTCTTCACAATAATTAAAAGTAATGCAATTATACTTTTACGATAATATACCATAGTAGCTACTTTATGACTGGTGTTCATTGTCGATTCTTGTATTTAAGATTGTCTTAAATATAGTTTCAATCCTTTGAGTGCATTGTTTGGGTTTTTCAAGGAATAATCAAAATTTTAATAGTCAATATTTCTCTCTACTTTTTGTCATATAAAAAGAACGTTTTTACGTTTATAATACAAAGTAGAGATGTAAAACAACAAACATTTTTTTTTTCGATTTTTCACAACTTGTTTAACAAGTAAAAGAAATTTGATCCATGGCAGACGACGTTAGTGGAAAATAACGAAGAATTAAGATGTTATCAGTCAATTAAAGGGCTGTGCCTTAATACATTACTTAAGATAGTCTTAAAATAAGAATTAACAGATTATGAATACCATCCTATGTTTATTTATTTGGATAAGTATCTTTTGTGAAATAAATTTCAGTTACTAAGCTAGCATGAAAACTCACACTATCTAAAGCCAAACAATACAGCCAATACCTAGCACTGCCAGCATCACTGCCAACATGACAATAAGCAGGCAATTTTAATTGATAATCTTAAAGAAAAAAAGCATCGTGTGCTACAGGCTTTATTCCTATTTTAATATTATGTGTATTTCCAATCTGACAATTAATTATTGTTCTTTCTGTTATCCTTTGATTACATCTGAATTTCAGTCGACAAGATTGTTGCTACAGTAAATATTATCTCTGAAAAGATGAATCTTGATCCTGCGTCTACACGAACAGGATTTCATTGGCCGCCATTTAATACCGTTCATCATTTACATTTACACGTTATTTCACCAGTAGAGAAAATGAGTGGTATAAGAAAGCTGATGTTTCCAAATCCCAATAACTATTGGTTTGTGAGCGTAAGTATAGAAATTATACATCTTATTAGATAAATACTGTGCAAGATAAATTTTTATTATACGTATTGCTATTCTTTTTTTTGCAGACAGATTATGTGAAATCTCGTTTAGAAAATAGTAAAAAATAGAGCATTATAATTTTACTTTGTTACTTGCCTTTTTGGTACAAATTAGGGATTAAAATTTTAAGCAATTGATCATGGAGCATTTGGTATGGATAAAAATATTTATTATATGTATATAGAATATATATATATATGCCAAAAATTATGTATTTATTGAGAACTAAGAAGAGAAATTATATTACAGTTTCGTATTTTACATTAAATCGTATATGTAGCTTATATATGTGTATCTAATATATTGTATACATATTTTATTGTTGCATTTAATTGTTTGATCTTAATATATGCTTATATATTTTATTGTATTTAAAAATGTGCATAAACAATGTTATATAGACTTTTATAAAAAAAAATTATAGATATATGTAAATTTTTCAAAAACATTTAATCACATTTCTCCTCAGTTTCTTCTTTTTCTTCTTCAGCAATCTTATTTTGCCAATAATTACCTGTTGGATAAGTATAATTTATGATGCTCTCTTTCTTAAGTTTAGTCGAGTATCCAGGACTCATGGGTGGCATGTAATGTGCTTTTTTAATTTGAACAGGATCCTCAAAGTGTTCATGTTGTTGATCCACAAATTCAATTATACGATTTTCAGTGGTCTGACTTAAACAAATGTAGTCCCACATTTGAAGGTGCTGAACCATCTCGCACAAACCTATTCCACCAGCATGCGGGCAAACTGGTGCTGTAAATAAAAATTTTCACCTTACACTCTGTTTTCCTCTAACAGTAAAAAAATTATAGATTCGTTAAGAATCATCTTTGAAATATTGAAGAAATAAAGATAAAATCTAAAACTAATCTACTTTCTAATCTTAATCAAGTCTAAAGAATTAATTAATTATTAATTATAGATTTACTATTAGTTATGTGTGCCATTAAATAAACAGCCAGGATCTCGTTAATCCCACCAATCCTCGCCGAATCAACCTGACAACAACTGATCGCATGATATCTCAGAAACTGTTTGAACATAACGCGATTTGCGCACATCTCGCCAGTAGCCACTCCAATACCATACGGTTTTAATCCGTTCAGTATCTCGTGGTGTCCAATGACATCATCAGGAGATGTCGGTTCCTCTATCCAAACGGGTTTAAATTTTGCTAGCTTCTTCATCCACTCGATCGCTTCGTTCACGTCCCACACCTGGTTCGCGTCCATCATCAATTTGTTTCCGTAGCCGATCACTTTGCGTATCACTTCGCACCTTCTAATGTCATCCTCCAGATTCTTGCCTACTTTAATCTTAAATGCTGTATAACCAGAATTGAGAAACTTTTTGCAAAGATCCTCAAGCTGCTGGTCGCTATAGCCCAGCCATCCGACCTGAGTGGTATACGCGGGATATCCATTCTTTAGCAATTTCTTTTCTTGCTGCTCCCTATTTTTCATTCTTTCCTCGAGTATTATTCTCGCGTTATGCTCTTCTATTATGTCTTTCCTGTATAGAAATATGTACACAGAATATATTATAAGGGTGAATGTAACTCCAGTTTAGTAACTTTAGTTTACAAAAAGTTTCGGCTTACACATATCTGAAATCTATAAGAGATACGAGCTGCTTGGGTGTCATGTCCGAAAGAAGTTTCCAGACAGGTTTGTTTTCGATACGGGCCCACAAATCCCACAGTGCGTTTATGATAGCCGCTGTAGCTAAATGTATCACGCCTTTTTCCGGTCCAATCTAAAAAATATCCTAATTATATAATAATCTTCATATTTTAACACATCGAACGCGCTGACCAATTTATATAAGTGTACCGCATAAGTCGAGACTTGAAACTATCCAATGTTTGGAAATTATTTTTTTTTATGCAATTTGAGAATCCCCCTTGATTAATTATTTTAGTATATTGCTGGAAATCACGGAAATCTGTGGCACACAGTGTGTGTCGCCGGCGCTCAATGTGTTAATTACTGTATTTTTATTATACATTACCCATCTCAATTGCGAATCGCTCGTTAAACGTCTCCAAAATTTCGCAAAATCATTGTAAATCCATTCTAATTTTCGAAGCCTTATAATCGAGGCTAGAGACTTACATGCTTGCACAACTGTCGAAATTATTATTTAAATAAAAGCGTATGTATTTAAAATTATTAATATATACAATCAATATATACTGTAATACCGATTTCAGTTCCTCTTCCCAAGGTAAACGTAAGACCATATCCTTCGTGCCCGCTATTTGTTGTAATCGTTACATACACGCAAGAATAATCAGGATCGGTATGCTGTTGTTATAAATAAAGACTGATAGTATTTAATATAATCTTCACAATGAATAAAGATTAAAAATCAGTAATAGTTAATTTAATGTGCAATCTAAAATATTGCATCATTCTAATAATAATAAGTAAATGATTATTAATATATTGTTTATTATTATTAATTTTGCTATCTATTATTAATGAAGATTAATAATTTATTTATTAATTATTTATGTAACGGTTATTTTTACTATATGTAAGTAATGCTTAACATATTAATATGGATATATTTCCGAATACTCCGATTTATCAGAATAATGCTAACATCAAACATGTCATGCAAATTGTTTAATAATGAATATACCATTGCGTCGCTTCCATCTCGATTTAACGATGTCGGAAATCTTATATCCTTTACATTAACAGCGATGATTTTGGCGTTTATCATTTTTCTAAATGTACTTCTAAAACGCGCGACAATGTAACACAACACGAGAGTGACTGAACAATATTCGAAATGTTACGTCTAAATATAAACATATCGCTTGGCTCTTATCATTTTACGTAAATATTTGTGTCGTAAGTCAATATCGTGTCATGTGATATTACATATCAACAATATCTAAAGACAAATTAAAAAAGTTACTTTCGTGGAAAGATCTAGCTTACCTATATTTTGTTGCAGATGCTGCAGCTAATTAATTGAACTTATAATATTAACGTGTAATATAATTCTTTTGAAGGTTCCATGAATATTTTCATCAAAATGCGAGAGAGAGAGAGAGAAAAAGAGAGATTGGCAGGTTATCTCCATACGTCTTATTGACACATTATTAAATACCAATATTCAGTGAATAGGCATTATAATTATTGGCATTTAAATTTAGACTCCAAGCTGAATACAAGTTATTATGACATCAAAATGACTCCAAATGATCACTAAAAGTTAATTATTATGATTTATGTAATGTCATTTTAACTAAAATATTTTAAACGAGTAGAAAATAAGTTAACGAGTTTATGAGTAACTAAATGTTAGTAAAGAGAGACGTCGAAAAATTAGGAAATTATAAATATCCAGAATATTATATAACTTTTCTTTATCTCTCGTACGTTCTGTAGCCACTTTTACATATATGCAGTATGCGTCGGTTTGATTCTTACGATTGCGATAAGGTCATTACAGTTGCACGTTTGCATTGCTCGAAGGATTTGAGAAGAAATTAAGATATTCTTCATCCGTTTCTATGAAGTGGATTAACGTCGATCTCATTTAGTTAGTTCTTTTATCTTCATTTACTCTTCATCTTTTTTTAATTTATAGAACTATAAAAAGATAAAGAATTAGTTGAACAGAAAAAATTAACAAGTAAACTATATTGAAACGAGCATTAGTATAGCAGTTTTGTTCTGTATTTCGACATTTAAAAAAAATTAAAAAATGGCTTATTTTTTACTAAGTGCAATTACAAATTAATGCAGTCGGTAGAACTAAAACAGTTTACACATGAAATATAATTGAATTATTATCGCAGAACCGAGCTATCCTTTTCGAGAATCGCTATTGTTTGACATCGGCATGCGAACGATGATTGGCTCGAGTCAGCCAACGAGTGTGTCATGCCGCGCCGATACGGAGTGATTGTGGTCATAACATAATATTGAATTTTATTAAATTCTTGTGTCAAATATTTTACATTAAATGTTAAAATTAACTACAATGATTTAGAGAAGAATCATAAAAAAATATAACAAAATAAAAATTTCATTATACGAACGGTCGGACGTAATATAGGGAAGAGTTGCCGAATGCGTACTGATCTCCTAAATCGTACCTCATCAATATTTAGTATTATTATTTAATATAATATTTAATATTATTATATTACTCTTAATATAAGCAATATTTAGTAACAATAATATAAAATACATGAATAATGAGTAATATAGACAAAAATATAATAGACTACGTCTTGTTTTATGAACGTTAGCAGCATTTATAAAAATACATTTAATATTAATTTTTAATCAACTTATGTAGCTGATAACAACGTTATTATCCAATTTTACTGTAAATTTTCGTATTTTTATATAAAAGATTTATATATGTATTGTAGAATATTTTACATTTATTATACACTACTCAACAAAATTAAAGCATCACCTGTTTCACCCTATAAGAATAGACAATTTCGAGATAAAATAACTTTGTCAAAAATCATCGAATCGAGATTTTTAAGAAAGTGTTTTAAGTTTGAAACATTTTTCTCAAGAAACTGATGCTTATTTCAAACAAAATATTAAAGGATTTCCACCCTTTTAGACCCTGTATAATTATATGTAATGGTTTTTTATGAGAGAAAAATACCCATACATATATTAAAACTACCTACTACTTTTTTTTAACACAGTTTTATAACTTTTTTTTCGTATTATATAATTTTCTTTGTGTAACAAAAGGAAAAAGGAAATATAATTATTTTCAACTTTAGACGTAATCTCCTTACAGACTCTCCAGATTCAAAACTCTATGAACTCTAATAATTATTTTCTTTTTCACAATTGCTAAATACAAAGCGTGACTTATATAATAATGATAATAAATGAAATATCAAAGCGTGTCCTAACAATAAGAACAAACATTCTCTGTCGATATTAAATCTTTTACTTCGAAACGATAATTTTGTCATTCTCCTGATTTATAAGCCAGTCGCGATTTTCCTCGACCAATTTCTTCCAATATTCTGCAAAAATGTAAGTCTTTATACTTTATGTAAATTGAATTATATACTTTGATTGTTCGATAAGTCCGTGCAAAGTATAAAATATTAATAGCATTACTTATTGAGATTATTTTTAGTATTCGGCAATTTTTGAAGGATCACACACCAAATTTCAGTGAAATAGATCTTTTATTCTGTATTTGGCATTCATTTGAATTGATCAAGGATCGTGATTCGTGAAAAATGGGTCAGAAATCCAAATTTCGGAATAGAGGAATACTTTGAGAAGGACTTTTGTAGCGTAACTCGAACAATTTTGCGATCATACTACACGAAATTCTTCCTGATCCAATTTTTGCAAACCACGAGTCTTGATCAATTCAAATATTTCAAATGAATCATGCTAAACGCATAGTAATAGATTTATCTCACTGACATTTGGTGTGTGTGACCCTCCAAAAATTATCAAATACTAAAAATAAGCTCGATACATACTGGTGCCATATTTTAGACTTGGCTGAGATTTATTGAACGACCCACATAATAACGTTGATTTGCATTTATTATACACGTTTCAAAATTACAGAAATATTAACAACTTTTTATGTTTCTTAAACGTTTACTTGTAATTTTGTTTTCGACAAATATTACTTATCGAACAATCCTTTATTTATTAAATGCATTCATTACGTTTTACTGCAAACTTACCTGTTAATTCTTTAATTGTACCGTCAGTGCCACCATACTCAACGGGTAAGATGCTAGTTGGAATATCCTTGAAACAGTTCTGCATTGTTTTGTGCGAGTAGACGTGAAATCTGTTTTTTAACTTTTCCGTCATGAAAGATTTTGCAATTTTCACAATAACATCTAAAATTACTGGTACATTGATGATGTTAATTGATCGGACCCTCGTTGGAAAGCAACTCTGCCAGGAATGGATACAATTCATTAATATGTTTGGTCGAAATTGAGCAATATGTCCGAAAGTTGGATTAGACATATCTACAAATATTGTATAACCATACACGGATACAGCGGGATAATACTTCACCGCTACTTCCGTCACTATCGTGGTGACCTAAAAGATCGTCCATTGACAAACAATGCGAATTGAAATTATATATATATAATATTATTTGAACATTGTTTTTATTTTTACCTTAAATAAGTCTGGTATTTTGTGTATTTTCGGATCATGACGTGTGCCTTGTGTAATAAAAACTAACCTTCCTTGATTATCCGGCTTCCGTAGAGGCAAAAAATAACTGAATATAAATAAAGAATGTAAGAATTTTAGGCTCGTGTAATTGTAAGACAATTTAGTTAATATCAAAAGGCTTATTTTAAACAGAGAGAGACCAATTAAAGTTGATTTATATAATAGATATAGATAAAATTTATAGAGATTTCTAAAAAAAGATTTATATAATACATAATAAAATTTCGGTGCACAGTTAAAAAATAATTACAAATATATGTATATATACTATGTACACAATAATATACATAATAATAGTATGTATGATTCACATTGAATTGTTCAAGCAACTAAGCTTTGCGACCATATTATGAGCCTTTAATCATACATTTCTTATTAATTTATATATATTACATTTAAGTTGTCAGATCTCAAATGCTTCGATATATCGATCTAATTTCCGTGCGCGCACGCATAAAAAGATTTACTGTAAAATTTTATAAATTTCAGCACTTCATGAACTCTTACACTTTTATAATCAATAACGATCGTTAAAATCAATAATAGTCGTTACCCCAAATCAAGTATCTCTTGCAATTCCGGTCGAAATGGATCTATATTCATATGCCAGTCTGGTAAGTCGGATCGCTGCTTGAAATAGTTTCGTATTCTGACTTTAGATTTCTCGACATCAAATTTAGCGACTCTCAAAAATCGCAAGATAAGGAAATCATCTGAATATAAAGAAAGATTACTTTCAAATAAAAAAATTACAATTAAAGCAATATTAAATCTATAATTAAGTTTTAATTAAATACTATAAATGCATAGAGCAATGTAATTTTAAGCACAAATTTCTACTACTTCTTTTATCGAAAAAAAAACATGAAATTTCTTTTATTCATATTTTCTAGAAAGCATCAGTAGATGAGAAATAATAAAACTTCTTGTATGTATATAATATTAAAATTCAAATATTTTTTAATGAAACAATTCTTTTGTACTTGATAAAAATACATTTGTAAAATATGCTAAAGACTTTTTTTTATTTTGAAATAGAATAAAAACGGTTAGTTCGATTGTAGCTTGTTTCGTTTTCTGGTTAGACGTGATTCAATTTTTTAATTATATGATTATTGATATTGATTATTGTAGAAACACAAGATATATTTTACAAATCTGTCGATTGAGTGTTTCATTAAAAAATACTTGTACTTTTTATTATAATTTGTATACATTTGACTGTGGTCAAAGTCTTGCTTATAGAAAATGTTTTGAAGCATTTGATGGATCAATCAAAAAAAATCTAGAATTTTACAAATTGACCAATCAAATCTTTGTAGCATCGCATTGACCGTACCTATATTTTTTTTCATTTTTAACATCATGGAAAAAAAAGATTTTCTAAAACAACTTCACTGATTTAGCAAATCTATAGCAGTCCATATATATTATATAGGGACAGCTAGTTTTATATATATATATTAAAGTAACAAAAAGTTATGCAGTTAAATTAAATTAATTCTAACTAATCATATTTGTTCTAAATAGCACAGCAAACATTTGTTATATAGCAAAAATAACTTTCTACAGAAATGAATTTATTATAAAGATTATTCGTAACAAAACATGTTATAACTAAGATATTACTTTTGCTGCTATGATGAAAAAATTTGTTACATTAACAATCTTTAATGTAGCAAAGAATTAATTGCTCTAACAATTCAAGTTAATTAAGGCAACACATTTAGCGCCGTGACTCGTTTCGGCTGTCACAAATGTCACTAACGTATAATATCCCTCCGTCGGTAATGTAAAATTTTCACTTCACTTGAATCTTCGAACTTTAGTACAAATTTTCATATTGTTTTGAACTGTATAAAAATCAGAAAAGTTCTCAACTGCTTACAGACATAATTTTCTTTATCGAACCACCACATTTTCTTAGTTACAAATATTGAATTCGTGTAGTAAACTATATAGCTTTGCTGAATCAGCGATTCTATTTTTGCCCGTGATATAATCCAAAGTGACTGTATTGAATAAGCAAAAGCCGTCTAATATTTTAACGCGCCTGTCAGATGTATCTAATATGGCTGTTTTCACAATTTTACCCATTCGAGCAGGCAAATCATCGTTTTCCTCAATCCAGCGTTTGATTTCCGCGACGGCGCTCTCTCTAATCTCATCGGTCTCGTTCAAATATGTCGCTGCATATTTTTTATCCTCACTAGTTAGAGCTAGCTCGTATCGAGTGTAACATTTTACACTGTCGTCGTAGCTAGACGCGTTCGCCATCGTAACACCGCGTGAAACTACTATACTATCCACTGCTGCAAACAGTGCGACAAAACTCAGTGACCTCTGCGGACTGAGTAGAGATAAATTGTCACATATGCGGATTAGAATATGACAACGAACGCAGTTACATAACATAGAACTTCTAATGCATAAATGTATTAGAATTTTTTAAATCATTTTAATTGATAAATTACTTATCGAAAACTTGCGTCACTGTGCAATCTACTTACATCATCAAATATATGGGTATGCGTCTGAAAAAGAAAACAGTCTTAAATTTAATAGCCTGTTTATTGTCAATACAATATCTTAAGTATTTTACTGTGATCTGCAGACAAATCTATCCGTTTTATACACAAATATCGAATAGAATAGAGCAATTGCCAATTTCTCGTTGTGTCAGCCAATCCATTGTGGGACTGGTGGGATTCCGACAAATTAGAGAGAACCAGAGAGAACGTAGTACGTACTGACATGTCTTTTTTGTCTCTTCGTGCTGGCACTGTTGATTAGCTTTAATAGAGTTTATGTAAATTAAGGAGACAGAACGTGTGATATTTAATAACGGCTGAAGAAAACTAACAATAAGTTAAAGTCAAAACATTTCGTGATCATGCTTATTAATTGACAGATATATTAAAAATTGTTTTATGCCTGTTTCCACCAATGCAGATTAACTTTAATCTCGGTTTAACTATAACTGTTCATCTTTTTCTAATTTTTAGAATTAGAAAAAGATGAAGAGCAAATTGAACCGAGATTAAAGTTAATATGCATTGGTGGAAATGGGCATTATAGAATTAACACTCACCTTGCCCGTTATTTAGCCTAATTATTTTATCATTCCAAATAAAAAAAATACTGGTAGTATGCCAGAAGTATACCAGCAAATTCGATCATAAAGATACAGCATATTTTAATTTATTACTCCCTCACTTTTTTGCTTACTTTCTAATAGCATAATTTGTCAACATAAAATGACGATGATGATGCAACAAAGATCGAGCATTGTATATTATATATCACATCGTGGCAGCAAATATTTATACATTTTAGTATATATGCATGTATTTATGCATGAACATTCTTTTGTCGAGATATACATATATATAACCTTGTATTATTAACTTCGGATAATAACTCAGTGAGAAATGACAATGGAATTGATGTTGAATCGACGTTTATTTGATGATTTCGGCGTCGATTCAATGTCGATTCCATTGTCATTTCTCACAAGGACATTATTGAATAATTTAATAGAAAAGAAAATAAGGACTTAAACAGTGTATTAATTATTATTTTGAGAATTTGAATGACATCAAGTTTAAAATACGATTTTGATTGAGTAAAGCATCGATATTAGAAGTTTCAGAAAATATTAGAAATAAATTAGAATTCGGGATGGTCTTTTTGATAAAAACAATTCTGGACTTTTTATATTTTTCTCTACATTATAATTATACTAGTATTATCATCAAACTTAAAATACAAAATTGTTAATAATAGTAATATTTAAATATATTACGAGTAAGAGGACGTAACAATATAATTAACTATGACAAATGTACACGCACACATCAATACACATACAAAAAGAAAATTTTTACTCATAGAGAAAGAAAGATGATGACGAAATTCTCACTAAGAAAATATTTCTTAATATTTACTGAATTAAATTATAAGTTTAATCTCAATTATTATATTTCTTGATAAATAGCTTCCTGGAAGGATGAAATACTCTTAATTAAAATTTCTTTCTCGATCGATAATAAATTTTCTCTATAATCATTATCATGGTGCTTATAATAAAGCCTCCGCAGAGAATTGCCAAAATTGGAATGACGTTAAACAAATAAACTGGCCTGTAAATCTTGTCTTCCACCAACTGCGGCGAATATGTTTCCCTCAGACGCATTATCATACCATTGTCTAAAAATTTCTGCAAACTGATATATGCGATACTTTTATGACCGAAAAGAAATATTATGAATGTAAAAAGGACGTTTTTCGTGATATACTATAATATATACTTACTAATAATTTATGACGCCTGTATACGGATTATTTTTTGAGAGGATCATTGCTAAATTGTCTATCCTTTCAGTAGTAATGCTCGACAACTTACAGGGTATCTCCTTTTCTACGCTTTTCTTTCGAGCACTCAGCACCATAAAGGCAACATTTTTCTCATTGCATACCTGAACAAACAACAAATATTCAATAAAAAATTGTTCAAGCATGGAACACTGAAGTAATCATATTAATTATAGAAAAAGAAAGTAATTTCATACAAAAAGATAACAAATATTAAAATATATTTTGTTAAAATTGATTCGTCTTAATGTCTCGTGTAAAAATATTGATTATCTTATCGATCGTACTTGCATGAAGCCTTCCTTTAAATTCCTTGGCAATTCCGATTCGTCCTTCAATAATTTCATCAGTTTTACATAGAAAAGTTTAGCCTCGTGCTGCGCCTGAAACTGTCGTGAAAACAGCTTTGTAACGTGTTAATCATTTATCGCTCTATATGTAAATATGTGTGCGCAAGGTGGAAAGAATATATTTACACCATATGTGTGTGTGCGTATGTGTGTTACACGTCTCCCTCGAAACTATTCTACTTTCATCTGAAACATTTTTTCATATCATTAAAAACAAGCGAGTTAGGTGACCTGTTTTAGATACCTCACCCTGTATATTAATGAAACTATGTGGTAGATGATATTAGTGTGACCCGTATATATGATATTGCCAAGTCCGGATTTTGAACAGAGTCTATTATATGATTATTTCTCTCATGCTAGAAAGGAAACAATTAAATTTCAAACGAAAAGTGTTCTGTAAATAAAATGCAAAATGTTTTTAATATAAGATTTAGGTCGACAGGAGTGACCCAGAGACCTATATAGTCGAAGAACTCGAAGATGAATTTTTTATTCCCAAATTACGGCTAAAATACTGGATGGATCGCGTTTTAATTGTGATATTCGTAATCAGGAAAGGCTCCTGAAGGCTCGTACAGAGCTATTTTTTTGTAAAAAAAGGCATAACAAAAATATTTCTGGTCTCCACGGGTCACTCCTGTCGACCCTTAATAAAAAAATGTTAGCAGACTGACCTTAGCTAATCGCTTCCGTTTTGATAACGGCATATGAGATAACGTCAACAGATTTACAGCAGAAACCAAGCAGAATCTAGTAACTCTTTGACAGCGAAAATGAAGCAGAATTTGCGCAACACAATGGGTGCATCTAGAAGCACGACCGCTCAGTAAGTGGTCGTGCTTCTGGATGCACTCAATTTGATCTAACAACAGCTAGATTGACAGTAGAAATTGGGCAGATCCCGTTTTATTGATATTAAAATTAACATAATATTATTACACAGAAAATATTTCTCAAAATGATAATTTTATTACATTTTTTTATTTTGAAGAAAAATTTTAATTAGTACATTTTATAACGAGTGGGGTTTGGTTGCGCAATAGGCAACTACACCACACGAGTTGCACATAGAATTTTTCATCACGAGTGCACTGTACTAGTAATATGCTGTATAATTATAAAGTTGCACGAGCGAAGCGAGTGCGACATATGGGGCGATGCGTGGGACGTAGGAAGTGGGAGGGGCGCTGCCTCCCCGAACCAAAAAAGAATTTAAGAAATATTTCGTAAATAAATATTTAACAATACAAAATTTTTTATTGCTCATTATTTTCAAATATAAATGTGAGATTATTACAATTTGAAAGATTCAAATTTATGTTTTTATATTTAGACATATCAATACGAATAGTTTTAGATGGAGTGGATAAATCTGTGTTTTTATTTTCGATTGCAGTAAATGTTCGTTTTTTATTATGCATTTCTACATGTGCAGTTGAGGTTGTTGGTGCATTGTAAATTTCATTCGCGATAATTTTTCTAACTTCTTCTTTGTTGTCTACAGAATCTTCGACGTAGTTTGCCGTGATTGTCGAGCTCTTCCAATCTTCTTGTCGTTGAATATCAAGAATACTCGCGTCTGAATCTTCTAAAAAAGTAGCTGAAGTTTTTCGAAATGTGTGGCTTGTGTAATTTTCTGGTTCATCCAATTTTAAATAAGTAGCGATAATTTTTGGAAAATTTGCAATGGTGTTAATTCCAATCACATTTCTACTGCACTTTCCGTTTTTAAAATTTAAAAAAAATCTTTTAGAGTCAATATCTCTTGGTCGAAGCACTGCATACTTTTTGTATATCTGATAAAAATGTTCAGTTATAATAAAAGATCGTGTCCCGCGATTTTTAGTTTTTGGGATTTTGACTACGATCATGTCACCTTTGTCAAAAATATTGTCGACGGTTAAATCACATAATTCTTGTTTCCGACAGGCACCTTGAATTCCAAGAATTAAAGCTACCTGAAAATTCAAAATTTATGACTTACGTGTTTTTGCTTCAGAGTATTTGTTAAAAAAAATTATTGTATTTACTTTTATTACCAAATATTCGTCATCGGGAGCTTCTTTAATAAATTGCTGACATTGTTCAGGAGAAAAAATTTTAACGTTTTTTACTTTGTAACCTATTGACATTTTTTTTAGGAATTGAAGAACTTGTGCATAATCGTGAATATTAATATTATATCTTGCTTGAATTATTTTTCGTAACGAGGAATATATCGCCCATAAACTCGTTGGAGCTTGTGTTTCGGATAATTCTGACAAATAAGTTAAAAATACTGTTTCGGATAAACCATTTATTTTTTTTTTATCTCTCCACCGCACAAATCTTGCGTAAACTGCTTCGTATTTCCTTTCTAACTTAGCCACTGAAAATTAATTTTTGAATATATATAGAAAATATACAATATTTTTTTATATATTTGCATTGTTTTTACTTTCTGGTATACTTACTGGTTTATTCTAAACGTTATTATAAGTCAAATAATATTTTAGGTACTGTATTGTTGTTTTGTCGTAGTTGATAACTTTATTATTGTAGAACACTATACTTATACATGAGATGTCCCGAAAGGGCGTTCTGGTCAGCGCGTCTCTCCGTGTTGTTACTTGTACGAGCGCTACCACTGCATTGTGTTAATTCGCTAGTCTCGCTGTAGTGTGGTACTATTTTTCCCACGCAAAATAACGCAAAAGCGTTGCGTTCTAGGGCACATTACGTTAGTTGTTTATTGCGTAGAGCGGGTGCCACCGTTGGCGCACGAGCGAAGCGAGTGCGCTCGCGCCAACTACACCACACGAATTGCACATAGAATTTTTCATCATGAATGCACTGTGGTAGTAATATGCTATATAATTATAAAGTCGCACGAGCGAAACGAGTATGGGCAGTGATGCGATTTCCAAGTTTCCAATCCGCTTGCAGCACTCGATGGTGGCGCCATCGGTCGGCAGCCTGGTGCAACCGTAGCACACCAAGCAAAGCTCGTTGTACGTGTGAGCGCGTCGACCATCGCGCTGACTCTCTAATCGTTCCTCCTTGTTCGCCTTCGACACGCTGAGAGCGAACGAGACAGCGCGATGGTCGACGCGCTCCTGCTTCAAGGTTACACGTACAAATGCAACACGAGCTGCGTTCAGCAGACTCACAGTTGAGTGAGCGCTCGTTACTATTGGTGTATTCTTTTAGATTTAAAATTTGATTGGATGATCTAAAAGAATACACAATAACAGCGAGTGCTCACTCAACTGTTGAGTCTGCTAAACGCAGCTATTGGATGCATCCAGAAGCACGACCGCTCATTGAGCGCTCACTAAGCGCTCAATGAGCTTTTTTATCTGATTGGCATATTCTATTAGGTCTAAAAATATAAACCAAACAGGTACATACAAGAGCTCACTGAGCGCTCATTGAGCGGTCGTGCTTCTGGATGCACCCATTGCTTGTGTGCGCTACCAGGCCGCCAACCGATGGTGCTATCATCGAGTGCTGTGTGGCGTTGCAAGCGTTAGCTGCGGCGCTCAAGTCTGTTCTTTTTCAGGAAACTGGCTTACGTTGGAAATCGCATCCAGGAAGTAAGATATAAGGAGACTCCACTCCGTAAAATAAAAGTGGACCCATTTTAGGTTTCGAGTTTAGTTTCCGATTCTCGACATTCGCAGCGCTCGTGAATTTAGTCGTGTTGCGCATAAATGAGTGCGAATAAGAGAAATGATCATTTGCGTTGCAGGAACAGAATGCGACATCAGTTGAGGTCTCAATCTGCACACCTTCTAATCAAAACAGCTATCAATTTGTCAATATTTTGTTAACATTTTGCTGGGTAGTTTTGTATTACCAAATGTAATAGTTTGACATAATTTTGATCGCTCAAAACGTGTATAAGCCAAAAGTGAAAGTCGGACTCTTCGATCGCTGAGTGAACTTACAGTAATTACACCGTAGTCAGCAGTACCACGTAGCATGGTTAATTTATAAGTACCGTCATCAGCGAATTCTTCTAGCGTTTGAAAAGGCAGAACGCGATTACATACTGTCAGAAAACAAATTAACGCCGCTGAATAGTGGGCCATTATCGACATCGCCGTCAAAAATATCGTGAAGTACGCGACGCGCAGCGATAAATTTTTCGGAAACTCTAGAATATAAAAAGTTTAATTAAAGCTCCAATCAACTTTTTAAAAAGAAAAAATAGAATCAAATATGAAACGCGTAATTCTTAGATAAAATTTAACTTATTATCCTATATATCCTCTTTTAGAAAAAAGAAATCATTATATATTTTAATAATATTTTATAATCAAATGTTTAATTTAAATACTTTGAAAGTTGTTGTAAAATTTATACTAATACCTATAAGCGCCTGCTGACAAAAAATACCCCAAATGCAGATGAAATTCTCAGAGATCAGATCCATGGCGTTTCGTGATTGACCGCGGTATGATTTCATGAAGAATAAGAGTAGTGGTACGGTCGCTATCAGTATGATAATTGTAACCCACGTGCACGAATTGAAAGTCTGTTGTACAAGTTTAAAAAATATAATATTAATATATTGTAATATTAAATATAATATTAATATAATATTAATAAAATGTAATATTATATATTAAATACATTTTCTTTGGCGGGAAAATATAAATACAAAATATTAAAGAACTGCGGTTTTTGATTTTTAAAACAATACTCCACATTTTAAAAAAATCTGACTACGACATATTTTATTCATGGATTAAAAAATTTTTTCATTTTTTTTTAATTCAAATTTTTCGCTAACAAATCTAACAAAATTTTTTTTAGATATAAGATAGCATATTAAAAAGTATGTCAAATTTCTTTCAGACTTTTTAATTCAGATGGTAGGAAAATAAAATTAAAAAATTAGAATTGACGTTTTTGATTATTACTACTATATGGATATGTTTAGGAGGTTGAAATTTGGTGTAAAAGATCTTTTATTGAACCCAATAATGTGCGATATACTCAAAATTGAATTTGGTTTGGGGGTATTTTTCACATGCTTATTCGGCTAGACAAGCCGATTAAAGCTTTTTACCTTCGTAATTATCATTAAGATACACAATGAACTTCCATGTTTATTTGGATTCGACTTATTGATTTGATTTGTATTTGAAAAAAATTAGATTGAATATAATTTGATTTAATTCGGCATAAAACAATTTTGATTTGTACATTTCTAAGTAAAATATAATTTAAATAATGGTCTTGTAACTATAAGTACAAGAATTTTTTAATTATATTTATCTATATTGCTCATTTATCAAATACTTTTATTTAGCATTATTTATATTCAGTAATAAGAAAAAAATTGAGTTACGATTTGTTATAGATGACCGATACATTGTGGGATGCCTTAATAAACAACTCTTATCTTTTATTTTCGTGACGACAATACAAGATACTTAAAATTAAAAACGTTAATCAAACGTATTACCTGAAAATAGCCGATCCATTTGACACCACACATTCCTGGTTCCTTGATATATAAATTGATTCTAGATACAATTAAAGGCAGCGTGAAATCGACATAATCCTTTCGAAGACTCGTCAACGACATGTCGGCGACAGCAAAATCTGCACAACCCGATACCATCTTGCCCATCACTCCAGACCAGATGAGAGTTTGTCGATTCTGTATACCGTGTTCGGTTATTTGCGAGACAATGTTCACGGTGAAATTAAGAGAACTCGTGAGCTCCTCCAACACTTTTCCATACATAGTAGCCACCTGATTCCCATCAATCGTTGAAAATAAACTCTGCATTTGTTTAAAGTCGATCAATTAAATAAAAAAGTTTCGCCATTATTTCTAACGTAAGAATTGTAGAGTTATATAGAGTACATAGATTTTGATAATAATTAGCGATACAAATATTTGACACTTGTACTAAATGTCTTTACTAAATGTTGTATTATTAAAAAGTCCATACACAGATCTTTCTAAGAAATTTATATGTGTATTATCTATAGTATATATATAATTAATTTATATATAAAATATGTCAAGTAATATGTGTACATAATATACAGATTCTTGAAAGATTGATAAAATGAAAACGTTGTCCTTTAACATTATTTAATATAAAAAGAGATATTTAATGTAGGCGTCAAATATTTCTACCAATATCTTATTAATTAATTATAAAAACGTATATATAATTCGTATAAACAATTTTATCTTTAGTAGCAAAGTATATTGACAATAACTTCACTAAACGTTGGTAAATATTAGAAATGTATTAACCATATTACTTTTGCGTTCGCTTCGGGCACTCACGCACTGTAAACTTCACTGTATCTTCCTTTCGCATGTAATGAACGATAAACATAAAATAAAGGTTATACGTCCAAAAGAGAACATGGTTTTAGCGTCAAAGGTTTTATTATAATTTGCATCAAATTTATTTAATATTTATTTTCAGAAAATTAAGAATTAAAAAATTTTACCGATTGCTCTTTTTTACCTCTTAGTATATATATTTACATAAAATTTAAGTATAATTTTCTTATTTTTAGTTAAAAAGTTATTTAATTTTTTCTCTCGAATCTTATGTAAAATCATAAAATGTAATGAGAAATTAATATTAAGAATTAAATTAGCTATTTTTGGATGATTATTCAACTGATATTTTTAGCTAATATCATATAGACAAAACATCTTTCGATATAACGACAAATGCAAGATATCTCTTTCTTTCTCATATATATTTTATATTTCTTTTCTCCTTTACAGAATTAAATAAACGAAACGGTTCTTTGTTATGTCAATTAAACTGTACTACTAAGATATTATATATTGTATAAAAAGGATATTGAATCTTGTTAAGCACCTCAGACGCGACCGCCCGTAGTACAACTCCTTCCATGTCGTTCCTCCGTTCGTAGAGAGATAGATTTGTCAGAGGAACGAATCGTTTATCGTCTCTCCATTCCGCCAAGTCAAAGATTTTGACAATGTCGCCCTTGACGGAATACCATTCTCGCAAGATTGTCTCGTTGTTACACAATACTAACATCTGCGTGTCGAACGTTAGATTAAAGGGATTACCGATGGGTTGACGGCAATAATCATGGGTGCTAATGTCAGGGATGTAGAGAAACAGAATGAACCACACCGGAAAAGACATGGGATAGGTCTTAACGGCATCCACGAATTCCAGGTACGCCTCAAAATTGGGTATAATGACGACGGTAATAGGCCGAGTTATTTGTTGATAATATTTAAGCGTTCTCCATAACTTTTTAAAGTGCACGTCCGTAGTCATTATGTAGCGTCGACTCAGCAAGCGAGTGCTCGTATGTATCAAATGTGTGATTTGCAAATCTGTAGCAAGAATTTTGTAAAATCAGCTCGACAAGCTTGGATATTTAAAAAACTCAAAAGTTCTTAAAATAAAAGATTCTAATTATTTTTATAAACAAAGTTGAAATGCTTTGGTGACTTCGTCTTTTTCTATCTCCACAATTTTATATGGTATAGAAAGAAAGGAAAATAAAAAAATATTTCATTCGAAATCGTGTAAGAATTAAGAATAACTGCACTATACTAATCGCGACTATTAACGTTGCAACGTTTATTAATTAAACATTTGTTCAGTTAAAATAATACTTTAATTAATTATCATGGTAACTGACGCTATTAAAATTTTCTTAATGCTTATAAAAAATAAACACCATATAATGTAAAATTTTAAATGATTTTAGTAGATATAGATATAACAATGTAAAATTACATTACCCATTAGAATACTATTATGGATCGATTCTAAACAAAATCGTAATACTCATAATGTCATAATTTGTCTTTGTTTGTGACTTATATGACTAGATTCTTATTTTATTAGAATAATCTGCGCATTTTATAAGTCTTGGGCATAAATCCCGTCCGCTAAAAATGCACGTCTTTTATATCTCAAATAAGTGGAATATACAAAACATCAAACTGAACGAAGAATGTAAGAGCTAAGCACTTGCATTTTGCTGTATTTCATTTTTTTACTGTCCCTCTATACATTCACATATCACCAAATAACCATTAAGACTTTTACAATTTCTACAATACAATCATTTTATCTGACAATGAGTGATTATATGATGTATGATTTCGAAGCTTACTACATTGACAAATCGATTTAACTGACATTAATTTTATTAATACTATAACAGTATAAAAAACTGAAATCATAACGCATACTACTATAACATAAAGGCATATAACAGAGTAGTTGCGTGCAAATTACCTCATTCCAATTTTTTCTAACTTCTGCAGTGTAAATCCTCGCGCGGCGAACTTATCGGAATTACTCTAAATATCGTACGTTATCTGGGATATTAAGAATGTTTTGTACATATTTTCAATATGATAAAAATTATGAAAAATTATAGATTATTCTAAATTACATTTCAAAATATATGACAAATTTGGTAATGATTTATTATCTGAATCATGAGTTATTTTAATAAGTAACAGTATTACTTTAAATCTGTGCTCTAATATAAATATATGGAAATGTATTATAAAACAAATGACAAAAATCTTAACTTTTTAAAAAAGTACATTATGTATTCAAGATTGTTTGTATAAAGTTACATTGTTATACATGAACTAGTAATTCAGTAAATAAACAAAATATTTATTTGTTTTATATCTGTGTAATTAATCAGTGATTCACAATGAAACTTTGTATAAGTTATTTTGAATATTTAAAGTACTTATATAACATTTAGATTTTTATCATTTTTAACAATTTAGTTTATAACAATAAAAATAATAAATAAGATTAGTAAATAGATAAATAGATTTGGAATAGTCTCAAAGATGATTTTTAACCGATATCTTACAAAATTTAAGTTAGAAATTATTTTTGAGATTTTAAACCAATTTAAACCAATCTTCGTGTAAAAAAAGTAATATCTTTTTTATTTAAGAGACAATTTCCAAATGATTATTAGAGTATCGGTATGCGCGTGTCGCCTGATCCTAGCTACTGTTAATGCATCATTTTTCTTTGTTCTTCACGTACAAGAAAGTGATAAGTAGTAATAATATAATAAGACTGTATATATATTGTGTTTGAAAGATATTTTAATATGAACTGACCCCCATATTCTCCACACATGTCTCCAGGATGGACAAAAATAACAGACGCCACGGAGTAAAACTTTCGAACATTCAATATCAAATCGACGAAGACGTCCGCGTTGAGAATAATACCTGCCGAAGTTCCGAGAAGAATGAAAAGTAGCGAACAGAGTGATAATCTCATTTTGTTGCCGTTGAAGTATCGGTTGAGTGTTTATCACGCGATAGAAAGACTATAACTAAACGACTAAAATTTCCACCAAGCGCAGAACAAATGTGTCTTCCTGTCAAGTAACGCGGGGAGTAAACGGCATGGGGACGTAGTTGCATATAAAATGCTTTAAGTGATATACAGATTTGTATCAAGGAAAAAACAATTGTTGAAGTATCATAAAATTTAGCTAGATACAGATCTGAGACTAACGTTGTTGAACTATTAAAATAATTAAGACACACTCAAGTTTGTTGTTAAAATGGTCATAATTCTTAGCAGCATGTATTGTTCAGGCTTAAATTCTCACATAATTAGAATATTATATTTTGATAATATTGTACAACAAAATTATTTTCAGATTTATATGTACTTAAATTTTTAGATATTTCAATAAAATCATTTTTTCTGTGAATGATTCCGCAAAATGTGGAACTAGTTGCGACCGATAAGTCCAGCTTGATAGCTCTTAATTGCCCTTATTTTCTTGTGAGGATATTTATATTGAATAATTATTGCAAAAAGAGGGGAATTTGGATACACACCGTTAATTAAACGTGATGTCGTAGCTATACCTATTAATGTTTTACAAATAAAAAGTCTTTTCATTAAACATATTAAAAGTAGTTTAAACAATAATAACATACCTACTTGAAGATATTGAATGTATATAACACCGCGAGATGATATGAATTGATTGATGTTAGTTTAGTACTATTAGAAAATTACGATTGGAAACAATCGGCAGATCGCATCTTAAACATGCGTTGTCAAAGTGAACATTCTACAGACAGCGCATAATATATATAAAAAATATTTATCAAAATATAAAAAAGAGAAATATTTCTGGGCAATCGCTAATGTGATTATACTTTACGCAAGCCGGCGAATTGCGGCAGATTCAGATTGTGGGATCTCAGCTATGCTCAATCGATAGCAACCACTCGGATTAGGCCAACTTTACACGCGTTCGTCTTCTTTTGACATTTTTTTTTATATCTTTGACTATCAAACATTGGGGATGGACTACCAAATGTCAGTAGGCGACCACCAAATGAATGTTTACGATAAAGTTATAATGAAAAAAACATTCGGAGGTCTATAAGAAGCACTCAATTTTGATTAACATGGTTATGACCACTACTACTAACAAAGTTTTTTGTATTTTGTATATCACTACTTTATTCGGCGATTACTGACTTGAACTACGGTTATCGACTTGAATAAAACACGGGAAAAATTTCAAAGTTTGACACCAGCGGCGTTGTCAACAATGGAATCCAAGTGGTTGCTGCTATTGGATAATCCAAAAGAATACACCAATAGCAGCGAGCGTTCACGGATCCGCAATCATTCGCATTTGAATCCAT